GGAAGGAATGAACCCGTCCAAGTGACCAGTGTCTCTGCTGGCCTTTAGCCAGTAACTGTATCTCAGATCTCCATTACTGCATCTTCACAGCAATCCCTTCCCCGAGGGAAGTCTGACATGAAATAATTTACAAGAGATTTTATTCCAAGAGGGTCGTCAAGGCACTGTTAGAGAATATGGTCTTTGGTACCCGTTTGATTCTGATTTTGTGTAAATTCCAGTTACTGAAGTCTGTACTTTGCAGGGTGGTTAATTGACCGTCCAATTAGAAATGCTTCGAGGGAACCATGAACTTCAGGAAATTTAAAATCTAGAATTTGTCATCTGGTTGATAGTCAAGAGAAGTTAGTAAAGCCAAAGAGATGAGGCATGTTTACAGGATGTGCCTGTTGTTTACCTTTATGTGCCTGATAGGCATAAACTGAAGAGCTTCACCGTAACTTTTTCAAACCACTTTATTTTGGGCTGAGTTGTTGCACTTGGTCTCAGACCTGTCGTTGTGTGTCTTACGCAATACCTAATGACCAAATGTCTGTACAATAAACAATTCGATGTCTTAATTTGTAGCTGAAATGTATTTTAACCACTATGATTTTTGTGTGATGTCTTCATTAGAAGGCTATTTCCCAGGCTGGTCCTTCCTTCAGACCGTGCTATATTAGCACAGTGTAGAAAAGGGAAAGTCTACTTTGCAATCTCAGCCAGAAATATTTTAACGCAACTAGAGCTTATTTTTATCACGCTTCAATTTCCATAGCTTTTTAGTCGAGCCTTATCTTTTCTTTAAATAGAGGCTTTCATCTCAGAGAATCCCAAATACTTCTTGCAGGAGTATTTTGGCAGCTTTTCACTATTGTTTCTTCACAGAAAGTGAAGAAAACCCTTGTTTACAGTGAACTGGGAAGCTGGAGTGCAACCATTACACCACCAGCTGCGCAGCCACCTTACGTACCACTGCGATTGCTCGGATGACTTTGAAAATCTCTTGAGCCTTCTTCTGTGTCAGAGGGGTCACTATATATTTTTTAAAAAAAATATATTATATCTGCCTTTCTTTCATCTCCGGAACTTTAAAGCCATGGTTTTTAAACTTCCATTTTTAACTCTAGGCCTGATTCAAAAACATCTAGGGGTTTTGCGTCTCCCTTTGGCTTCATTGAGGGTGGGGGGGCTTTAAAGCCTCTGATAGACCACAGTAGTTTTATGTGGGAGGTTTCTTGTGTAGGTGTGAAATAAGACCCCTTACCTTGAGGCCTCCATACTTAAAAACGTTCTACTTCACTTGCAGCTCGCAAGTGCTGATGTTATGTTAGACTGTGTGTGAACTGCTGACTGAACGTTTCAAAACAGTCCATGAAAGCCTGAGATGAGAAGAATCGAGTGAAGCGGGAGCTGAAATGGGGCAGTGCTGAGCTTTTTTAAATATTTCAAATAATTCAATCCGCTCGAGCAGCGAGCCCTAGGTTTGGGACGGCACGGTTCGAGGAGGAAGCTTTTCTAATTTTGCAGCCTCTTCAAAATTCTTTTTCAGTTTGGGGTGGGAGGAGGGTAAGGACCAACCCTGTGAGTGTAGATGTTCTCTCAGCGAAGATGGCAAATGCGATAATGTGCTCCAGAATCTCCTCTGTGACAGGGCTGGGTGCCTCCCTCTGATTCTGCCTGCAGGAGGAAATTACTTTGAGAAGCCTTTCCCCAGTCAATCATTTATCTGGTGCAGGGTGGGGTGAGAAGGCAGCCTTGGAGAAGCAACTAAAACTCTTAGACCTCCTTTCTCCCTCCCCTTTTGTTTCTGTTAGTGATCCCTGACATTTTGAAACCGGAGGTGATAAATAATTGCAAGGTGACTTGCAGGTTGGCCGTATTTACAAAAGGATATTTTTGTGTGTGTGTGTTTAGGTAGCTGGTGGTACAAAGTTAAGTAATTTCAAGGCATTAGCTGTAGAAATATCCCCATCTCCACGTTTTCTCTCCCAGAGAGCTCCATAGCTCCAGTAAGAAGGGAGTAATTGAGTATCAGGACTCAATATGGTAGAACAGAAATAACTTGCTTGTAGCTGTTGGTCCGGAAGACCTCGGCCCATGGCACTACAATCAATGCAGTGTTTCATAGGATGGGTAAGAGACCACAGAAATCTTTCTTGATTCCTTGCACCACGAGGCATGAAATCTGATTAGTCTTGTCCTCTTAAAATTGTGATTTACACTCCTAAAGCTGGCAGTATGTTCCCAAAAGATCCATGAGATATAGAGAGTGGGAGTATGCTGAAAAGGGTTTTCCCAACCCCTCAGAAACTGCTGTGGCAAGAGTACAGAGTGGTTCAGGCAGAGCTCATCTGGCTTAAACAAGTGAAATCCAGTGTCCTTAGGCAACAACTTCTGATTAAATTCTAGGTGCCCAATGAAACCATCCTCCTAAAGCGCATATGTACCTCATGTAGGAAAATAAAGTTTCTTTTAAATTGGTAGCTCGCTCTGTGGCACTTTACAGAGATCTGCTACGAAGGTCTTCTCATTCCATGACAAAGGCAATGGGATCCACGCAAATGGATTGGGGCTGAGGAACGAGGAGGGAGGTTTTGCGGTAGCGTTGGGCACTAAAAGTTGAGCTTTGTGGTTAAAAAGAGAAAAAGCTTAAGGGAGGGAAGAGAGAGTCTGCTTTATTTCTCTGCTGATTCACATTTCTTTTGAGACCTGCTAATTGCAACATCTCTCAGTAAGTTACTTACAGCAGTACTGCTGGGTAGAAATTGTGATAAATGCATAAACTGTGTCTTATTGATTTTTGTTGACATTTTACATGCTTCTTATGCATTCTAAACCTCCATTCAGTAATTGTCACTATGGTACACACTCCTGGATAATGAGAGCGAAAGAAGTGAATGAAGCAGTTTCTTGACCATTATAAACAATATTATTCAAGGCTCTGTATGGGGTTTCTTGCCTGCCCTCCAGTATAGCTCTATTTGTGCTCATCCCCCATTGAATTTGCAAGACAATAAATGAAAACCCTTGGTGTTATTTCCTCTGTTAACGATAATAACAGAAATGTTTTCAAGAGAGATTACTTTGAGACGAATGGTAAATTTGGGCCTCTATAATTTTAGTGCACAGCAGCAATATGGAATCTAGCGGAGGTACTGCAGTTTATTTACCCTTCTACTGTACATTTTGTCTAGATTGCTGTACAGAAAGCTGTTTTGTTACATCATTTTCTTTGACAGAAATTTGTTGCTGAATAAGAATAATATAGCAACACGTAGTGTGGCTAAACAGCAGTGAGACATCGTCAGCTGCTGTGTTACCTGAGAAATATGTGGAGTCACGACACTGCCATGAAGTCTGCTTAAAAGAATTCTGACTTCTGATTTTATCATGCTCACTTATCAGTCAGAGGTACATAAGCCAGCTTAGGTTCTCTTGTATCAAGGGCCTTTACATTAAAGAGAAAAAAAAAATACCGCATGATGCAAAAATGCATTGACTTTATTTTCATGACTAGATGTAGTGCTTTTGGGTAATGGTCAGGCATTGCTTTCTCTTACTGTTGTTTGATTAAAATGTGAATACAGTCTTGACTTGATAATCTTACCAGGTACACACGGAGCAAAAAAGAAAAGGTATTTTATGCCTCAAATTGATTTGCATAAACCAAACAATCTGTTGCTTGTTGGATTGCAGAATGGTTTATTTTGCCCATTGGCCACAGGGGCAACAATATTGTATTTTTGATGCCAGAATGTAGCTTTCATGCATTAGCTCTAAAATGACAATATGCTTTAGCCTCTCAGTGCTTAGATTTGCTTCATTTGGAAATCTTTTAAGTAGTAATAATAATAATGTTTTGAGGAAATTGAGTGGAACACCAAATTATTCTCTGAAACCTAAGTTCAAACTGTGCAAGGCTAAGGGAGCTGAAAATCAATGCACTTTTAAAGTCATTAGAGATCACAAGTGAAATAAGTCTGTGTTGCTTTAGCTAAGCTTTTAGTGTGCCATGGTATTATTACAAAATCAGCCTGAATCTGCATTAATTTCACAGTCTTTTTCTTTAAGATGCCCAAGGGTGCATGAAGAATAAAATGTAAATCTCAGAAGGCAATGTTTTTGTTAGTCAGAAGAGCAGCGAGTCACGCACTAAAAAAGTTGACCTGAACCATGCCCAGTGTAGGTATGTCTGACAATAGTAAAAGGGTGGAAAAATAGCCTAGGCATTAGCCTACTGGCTTTTCATTATGATTTAAAAGGCTGAGGAAGGAGAAAAGTGATTTTTTAGTTATTCATGCACATAGCTTCAGAATTGTTCAAGTTGGTGGTAGCTTTCATAGATCAAAGAATTATACTTGTACCTAGGACTCGGATAAACAAAAATCATAAAGATTTTTATTTTTAATATGTTATTTCCTTAAATGTTGAGATTCCACCTACATTACTGAATTTGTCTGAGTCTTTTCACACTTAGTCACAGGCTATACAGTGGAGTTTTTCTCATCCTTATCTGTATGGTTGTTCTTGGTGCATCACGGAAATATGTGACATTATGGACTCCTTTATTAAATTCCCAGTTCAGCTGCCAGTGATGCCAGTCACTTATTCACTATCCACAATTTACCTGCACAAAAACCATAGCAAGCAATTGTTAATGCATGGCCTGAATAGACTAAACTACGCAATCCAAACTCTACATAAAAGCCCTACTTATTTCAAACCCTGTGGCTAAAAAAAAAAAAAAAAAAAACCAAACAAAAAAACCAAACCAAATTAAAGGGAAAAAACCTTTCTCCTCACCCATCCCCACCTAATTTTTTTTCTTTCATCTATGGTCAGATTAGCAAGTCAGCACTGTCAATAAATAAACTAGAGAAGTTGTTTATTTTTATGTACTACTGAGAACAGTGTCGTCTTGTGGCCGTTCTCGTAGACTGTGTTGGTTTAACAAGCGTCCAACCCTTTTGTCTTGTTGTTTTTTGTCTTTCCTGCTCCCTGTCCCCTTGTTCCCACAGGCTGTGCGTTTGTCACATTTTCTACAAGGGCAATGGCACAGAATGCAATCAAAGCCATGCACCAGTCTCAGACCATGGAGGTACAGTACTGTATCATTTGCCCTTTCTTTGTTTTTCTTTGTGCAAATGATTGCGAATGGTAAAGCCATGCTCTCCTGGACCAGATCAGACACATGACAATCACAGATTTAAACTTTTTACCGACTTACTCTACCTCTCTTTGTGAAGCTTATTTTTCTTAATGACCTGAAAGCACACAATAAGGTTGCTGTGTGGTATCCAAACGCAGCTCTTGATCCTGTTTTCAGTGGCATTCCGCAGAAGATAAAAATGCTGTGAATACTGCTCCTCAGTCATATTCAGAGTATATCTGATGAGTAAATTACCTTTAATTTTAACACACGCACCCCCAAAGAAAAATCTTAGTTTCTTTTAAATAGATTTTTAAGTCTTGTGGTTTGCGCTGCTCTGAGAAAAAGCTGAAGAGATTTAACCTGGCCACGCTGAGTTACCAGTGCATGTGTTTTTCTGCAGATAGAATCTCTTTTTAAGTTGATATAAATTCTCCTTCTTCACGTAGCCAATAAAAATGCTAATGATGACAGAGCATATCGACATGTGGCACTTCCTGCAGAGCACCGTCGTGGCTAGCCCCTCACAAGCAACGCTCTTTATTTCCTTCCAAACTGCCTCCACGGCCTTGTATTTTATCATGATGAGCAACACAAAACTTTAAACCTGTTCACTTAATGTGAATATAGCTGCCGGCTAACGATCCGTTCATTGGAGTGGTTATCGAATGCCACGGCTTGTCTGGCAATCTCAAAACTTTTTTCAGTCTGTGATTTTTGTCATGGTCTTTCAGAATTTTGCACAAAAAACCGCACAAGTATGAAGTCTTTACTTACTCTGGATCTTCTAGCTTATCATTGGAGAGTGCATGTTATACTGTATTATGTATACTGTATCTTTGTGTAGTGATGATTTTTCTCAGAGGTGGCATTGATGTTATGTGCACTTGTTTCTTTTTTTATTTATTTTTCCACCAGGACCTTTCGATTTTTTTTTCCTCAGTGATTTTTCTTTGCAATGCTCTAGTCTCCCAAAGCATGCTGGGTGCTAAACAATCATTATTGCGTCATGTCGTTGAGCTGCTTTGTGTAACGAGCCAAGGGGGGAGACCAGGGGTGGGAGGGTGGAGAGAGGAGAAGAAGGAGGAGAAGATAAAAATCAAGCCAGTGCATGAAAATGTCACTAACTGTTTCCTGTATACTACAAGTAATGATCTCGGCATTGCAAAGCTATTGTCTTTCCAAACATCACGTTTGAATTTGGTTGAGCTTCTTTTATAATCCATGTGTTTTCTTTTCAGTGCAATGCATTTTTAGACCCTGAGTATACAGTTTTAGATGAGAATCTGCCAATGAGATGAGAGTGATTGAAATTATCTTTACTAGAAAGCTGCTGTTATACAATCTATGCAGTCTGACAGTATATTGTGAAAAAAACTGCCACTTTGAGTCTCTGAAATAATAACTCATAATTTGTCTGCCATGCACTGTTCCATTAATTCAGATCTATATGTTTTTCTGGGTTTGATTCCAAGTAAACAAGAAATGTTTATTGGTAATACTGTGTTTTACCTATATTTTTCCATGTGTTTTAATGTATTTTTCTGTCTAGCAAAATGAATTTTACACAGATCTACTTCAGAAGATGGTAAAATTAGAGAGATAATACCTCCCAGACAAATTCTCCCATTCTTCTGTTGTGTGCAGGACTCCAAAAAATGCTGCATTTTGATGTGATACTCCTGTTGACATTAGCTCTATAGAATAGTTACTCTTGGATCAAAATACTTCTCAACACCTTTAGAGACGTCTTCAATGAGGTCCCCAAACTGGCAAGGCAATTCCAAATATTTTGCACTTTGAACATCGGGGTCTTTGTGCCAATTGAGCATAGGCTGAGAGTCCCTTCTTGGAGAGAAGCAGTACACCCTCCAGCTCCTTGGGTGAGGGACTCAACAAAGTCTGTATCTACTGTCTTGACAACACAAAGAAAAATACGAAGGCAGCAACAGCTTTGGGAAGAAAATGGCACTAAATGGGGTGGAGATACCAAGCCATTGAATGAGGAAGGGAGCTGCACCCTCTATATGTGCTGGGAGCTTCCTCTCAAGATAGATAATGGAAGAGCATTATCTATTATACCATTCTTTAAGCAAATCATTCTTTAAGCAAAAAAAGTTTGCTCGCTTTTGCCAATAGTCTTCCAGTAAAAAGTTAACTTGGGTTAACTGGTGTTAAATCTCGACTCTCAGCCTGGAAGAGTGGTCCTTGGACACTTTTGTTTCATGCTTTTTTGCAAACAAAAGTGAGCTGGGGGGACAATATGTAGTACACAATTACGTTTCAACCCAATTACTGCAGAATTTTTTTTCTGATTTCATTATTTTCAGTTCTTTGGCACACATCATTGACCAAGATGAATTTTGAAAGTGGGCTAAGAAAGAACAATGGGGATGTTAATGTCCAGATGAACACGTCTCATAGAACAATGAATTCTCTTACTACTCTTTCCACCTGACTTTCTGACCTGGTTAAATCTACTGACTTTAAAAACGTAATTGCTGCTCTAAGTTTTTGCTCTTCTGTCTCATTTCTGTGGAGTTTTTTTGTTTGTTTGTTTAAGGCATTCAAATGCAGCACCAGTAGAAGACACTAATTTGTTATCACGGAGTAAATTTGATGCAACAATAACAACCCTTATATGTAGCCACTTGCTACATATAATTTCAATCTTCAGAATGTTTGCTTTCTTGAAAATGATGAAGTGACGAAATATAGAGCAGACAGTGAAAAAATGAATTATAGATTCATAAATTGCAGAGATACTGTTTTTATACAATTTACTGACATTTAAGCATTCATAAATTTGATGTCAGCTGTTAGTGTTGAGTGCTGAGCTGCTGAACTGAGAACTGAAATAGCCATATAATATTTTTTCCTTTGAAATGCATTTCTATTTCTTTGGAAATAGACTTGATTCTCCTGTACATCTAGGTAGAAGGCAGTTAAGTTCTGGTTTTTCTTAGGCCAGTGCTATCAAGCCTCATATTAAATAATAACAGCTTGCTTTTTTTACTAGTGAAACCAGAAAACTCTCTGACACCCTCCACCCCCCGGCTCCTTTTTCTTTCTTTTTTTTTAAAAAGGGTCTTGTTTTTAATATTAGTATAAAAATGGCTAGAGAGAGGTAATTGTGTAACAAGCTGACTCCTTCATAATCTTTATTTGATTGCTGGGGTGGTACGTATCTCCTTGCTTCCTCACTGAAACACTGAAAGACATTTTTACAATGAAACACACAGGAAAGGAGTTGGAGGTGGAATAATAAATCACAAGTGATGATTTTCTAAGATAAGTCTAAAGGAACAGTATTGATGGGAGATCTTCATACAAGAGTTATTATTATTGTGGTTTATTTCATAATTTCGTCTGTTGATTGTGAATATTCTTATCATTTCTCCTGGTGTGAGGTTCTTCAGAGAAAAGCTACACGGCTGCTTTTTGTAAATAACAGAGGACAGGAACTTCTCTGAAAATGTTCAGAGTCTTCTAAGAGCAGCCATGGGAAGAGTTAGGTGAAGTATAACCCCGCTTCCCATCCCACACTATACACTTTGGCTAAAGTGCTGCTGTGTTTTTTGGACTTGAGTCACCTTTCACTCCTACCATTATGTTCAGAGTGAAGTTAGACAAGAAATTAGTATAACAAAGCATGGCGGGTGGAGGGAAGTTATTCATTGGATCCTATGAAGTTGGAAAACAGTATGAAATGGATTGACAGTTTCTATGACTCACAAAATGCTTGAATTAATTTGAAGAACTGAATCATTGCAGTATATAGTTTGCTCCCTTGATTTGAAAAAATGAAGACTTGAAAGGTTAAAATATGAAAATGTATTTTTGTATCTTAGCGGGGGAAAAAAATAGAGCGAGAGCAAGAGAGACATCTTTCATATTCACGTCTCGTTCTCTCAGTGACTTGCCCAGGAATACCCAACCTGAAGTCCGAGGGAAATATCCAGCTTACCTCAAAAGTCCGTCTGGTCCATGACCACCTACTTCTTCTCAAGGGTCCCTCAGACATGGGTGAGGAGTAGCCTGCAGACCAGATCTCTAGTTCTTTCTAACAGCCTCCCTATTTCCTAAGGTGTCTTACAGCCCTCTCATATCATGTAACAAGAGGCTCATAGAAGCAATAGAAGAAATGGTGGCAATCAGGAATGGGCTGCTATCACCAGAACTAGTCACTTTTGGTCTGCATCCTGCCCTTTGTTCACATCTCGAGGGTGCTTGATACAAAGTGTGCCTGGGAGCAGACTGCAGGTGGGTGAATTGTCCTAGCAGCATCACCCTTTACACTTACTATGGGGTCCTTGGTATGAAAAGGACCGGTGACCCGCTGATGATGGGCGCTGCAGTAAATCGGTTGCTCAGAGTCTATTTATGTAGGGCACACACGCCAGCCGCACCAAGCGTGACCATGCAGCCAGCCTGGTCCCTGGCAGCAGGGAGGTTGGACACCTCTTCCTTTGGCGATGCCTTGAAAACAGACTGCAGACAAAGCATCACATCCATCTCATCAGCTGTGAAGCTTAATTAAAGAGGACTGGTACACTTTGCTGTCTCTGGCAGTAATTTTGATAGCTGGAAGGAAAAGAGAGCCTGAGGAAAGGTGCTTTATAAAAAGAACTGGGGAATAATTTCTCCATAGCCTCTTTTCCTAAGAAGCTGAAAATCTTAGTCCTTGCAGTCCTACGTATGCCAATCACAAAGAGGGGGTGAGCGATCAGGTCATGCCGTTGCCGGTGGCCCTGTGGGACATGGCTGAGCTCACGATGCGAGGGTGACTCGGTGTGATTTAACGCTTCTGTCTTTCCCGATCTGTCTAACCACAGGGCTGCTCTTCGCCAATCGTGGTGAAGTTTGCCGATACCCAAAAGGACAAGGAGCAGCGGCGTTTGCAGCAGCAGTTGGCACAGCAGATGCAACAGCTCAATACTGCCACTTGGGGAAACCTCACAGGTCTTGGAGGACTCACACCACAATACCTAGCTGTAAGTTCATTTCAGAGGCAGTGGCTATATTATACTGTATTTCTTTTAGAACCATGGTAAATCAGCTATAGTAAACTCCCTGCAATGAATTACTAAGTCGTCCAGGATACGTAGCATGTCTTCTTCTATATAAAAATCTCTGTACGTTTATCGCATGGTCTAAAAATAAATAAGAAGGAATAGAATTTGAATAAACATTTCAAGATGTGTCAGTGCTGTCCAAGGCAAGCATTTAAAGTTTACTTGTGCTGCAAAATAAAATTTGGTTCCATTAGTTTTATTGTTCTTTTGAATATTAGAGTCTGGTTTTTATAGCTGGACTAAAATTTAAGCTCTTCCTTAGGGGGGGACAGATAGGCGGCTGAACACTGTAGGGGCCGTATCTATATGGTGCAGCCTCTCAACTAGAATGTTGTGGTTCAATCCTCTAATCTTCCACATTTTCATTTGGAAATGGCTTTCATTTTAATGCGTGGTCCTGTTAATGCTAAATATGCGTGGTTCATATTACCTTGTACAGAAAGTGAAGATGGCAGGGGAAAGCCATTTGTTTCTCATAAATTTAAAATGGCATTTTCCTTGGTCCTTGGTCCATTTGTAAGATGAGAAACAAACTGCTGCCTCTGTTGGAGAAATCTGAAATGCACAGCCATGTGTCTTCAGTCCTGGATGGCCAAGAGAGGCTCCCCTGCAGCACAGCCGAGAGGGAGCCTCTGCCTTTTGTGGCTCTGGAGTTCAGAGGTCTGGTTGAGCAGCTTTTGGATAACTTGGGGAGTTCCTGGTGGTTCTGAGCTAGACAAATAGATGCATCCATATATATGTACTGTGTATGCATAAATACAGAATTTGTATGCATACAATGCTTTGGTATAGTGATATTATTATAAACAGCAATTTACCTCGCAATTAAAAATATATATTAGTACTGAGGTAGGTAGGCTGAATTGTTATATACAAATACCAGTCTAATGAGTATCTGTGTGCTTGATTCATAAAGATAATAAAGAAAAAACTGAATTCAAGGGGGTAGGGGGAGAATGGACCATGATTGACAGAGATGAGTTATGGTAACTACTAGACTACAGAGGGTTGTAATTAGTCACGCTATGTTGGTTTAAATAGATTTAACACCTGGTTGTTAAAAAGAATAAATTGATTAATTGTTTTAAAGCAGCAATGTTATTGAGTTTCCCTTGTGTCTCTGTGTTTCTTAATAGAGATTAGACATTAATATGGATTTACAGCATTGACTCTAGGGATGTTCATTCCGACAACAGACAGAAGCAAGAGACTATATAAATGTAAAGGAAAGCATAAATACTCCAAATGTGAAATGATAGCTCATTTTAGTTTTATCTTCATTTGTTACATTAATGTCAGATAGATTGCCGTGTTGTGTTGTTAATTTGCAGCTTCTGCAACAAGCAACTTCCTCCAGTAACTTGGGTGCCTTCAGCGGCATTCAGCAAATGGCCGGTAAGTTAAAAACCATTTCATTTTGCTCCAGCTATGTTTTGTATTCTTAAGCTATTGAATTCTGTACCCCTAATAATCACATTCTCGGGCGTGGGGGGGTTGTTGTGTATTAAATGTGGCAGATGTATTGGCAGGGGACAGCTCACGGTTCAACATCAATAGAAACACTTTCTCCCCTCTTTCAGAAACTGAAATTAAACCCAGTGCTCCCAGGTTGTGCAAACAGTTTGTCTTGCATTAGTCACCTGCCATTTGTCCAAAGTAACCAATTGTAAATTGCAGGAGAGCTCTTAGTCCCCGCAGCCGTATCCCACTCTGTGAAAAGTGTCAGTAAAGCAACAGCAGGATTACATTCTCATTTCCAGTGAGATTTCTGTGTCCTGAAAAATCAAATTAATGGCAGCCCTCAAACATTTTAATAATGGGTGGTGAGTAAAAATGTTCTGACCTTTTTAATGAAACCCAAGATTACAGGCCTACCTTCAGTATGAATGTTCAGGCTCCTTTTATAATCATAGAAAATTAACTGGGTGCCTTTTTGACTTTGGAACCCTAGTTGACAAAATTACACAACAGAAGCTTTTATGTAAAAGCATAATCTTTAGTCTGGGGGAAAAAAGAAAGAAAGAAAAGGCAAAAAAAAATCAAAGTGTGAGCGGATTTGAAAGCCAGCTAGTTGGAGGGTTTCTTAGTAATGAGCTGTGTGCCAGTAGTAACTGATGTGTAGTGATTAGCAAAAGGTCACTCCCACTGTGTGACCTACCATGCTGATACCCTAACTTAACATGATGCTAGAGAAGGCAGCGTGTGCAGTAAATCAGAGCACAGATGCACATTATGCCTGCCGCGAGAAACTGTTAAAAAGCTTTTTTTCTTGTTAGAGGGAAAAAAAAAAGGAAGCACAAAACCCCTAAATTGCTACATTAGTTTATTTTAATCATGAACCCACTGAATCAATGAAATACAACATTGTGCTTGCTTCATCATCACAAAACAAGGGCTAAAATATTCAGAAGTCTTTATGAACACCATTTTCTCACTTTTCTTTTAATCCTCGTCTTCTGCTTCTTCTGCTTCTGCTTTGAATGAATCCTGAAATACTTTAACAAGTATAGATATACCGCACTGTATAGCTATACCCCACAGGTATTCTTTGCTCAATCGTTGTATTATGCCATTATTGCAGTGACATCAGAGACTAATGTGAACCTGCTGTCTGACAATACAAATTGGACTACAGATGACAATATCTCTGAATTATTCTCTCTTCCTCAGACCTGCTGGCAGTGCTTGCTGGTTCTATTATGTTACACTTGCAATCTAGCATTTTTTCATCAAAAAAATGTATCTTAATATGATAAACAAACCTGAACGGTTCAGTAACATTTTTATACTTGGCAGTTTTGGAAGTGGCTTTGAGCTCAGAGATTGTGTTTAATGTTTTCATATTTGGTTAGGTCTACAAAATGAAAGAATTGAGACATTGAAGAAAAATAATGTGATATCCATTGCATTATGTGCACCTTAGAAGTTTTCTGTTGCCTGTTTCTCACTGTTAGTATAGATTCAGCTTTGTCTCCAAGAACTGTGTTGAAACTAAGAATTTTAGTCAAGTAATTTCAGGATGGGCTCTCAATCCGGGGTGTGATTTATTCTCTGAAAATCATATGGTCTTCAGTCTAGTAGAAAATCATCTTAAGAAACTGTAGTGGCACATCATTGTTACTTGAGGGATATGCCTTCTCGACTAAAGATTAGATTGCTAATGCTCTCATCTATGGGATAATTTAATGACTTGACTGCCTCTACTAGAAAATATGTATTTTTTATCTTATATTCATGTTTGCAAAACAGCTTGAAGTTTATTCCTTTCTTTCCCCAAAACATGTAAGTCTTAACCTTGATGTTCAAGGTCAAATTAGTGATAATAATTTCTCTCCAAGCTGCAGCTCTACATGAAAGTGCCAAAAACTAAGCACTATTTCATCATTAGGACTGAGAGTTCATGTCCTCTCCTCAGAAATCATGTGGTACGATGTTATGCTTGCATCTAGTATTAAAGTTTCGTTTATTATGTTTTGTGAAAGGAATAGAAAATACTCCTGTGTCTGCAGCAAGATCTTGCCTTACCTGCTGAAGCCATCCTTGAACATTTGTAAAGGCCCAGAGTTTTTTAACTTAAGCTATATATGTTCATTTTACAAAAATGAATCTAATATGTATTTCCATATTGCATATAGCTTGCCTATTAATAAAATATTTCAAGGTGAGGAATAAAATCTAGACACAATTGAGTAAGGTGCTAAAGAAGATCCGTCATTGCAGTTTGCAACTTCTTTGAACTTTGAGTTTGAGGGGTCCAACTTTTATCTTTGAAGTCAATGGGTGTGCTTACCACTGAATTCAGACACTAAAAGTTTGATCGAAAGCCACATAAGCCATTGAAATTTCACTCTTCCTTACGTGTCAGGCTCTAGCACCTCTTTTGTGCTTAAGTCTCGATGAAGTCACGGTTTGCTAAATTAGGACTGCTAATACAGCCTCCCCCTTGTCCAAAATTAAGGACCTTTGGGTCTGCAAGTATTTATTTGTACTGCTAAAGCCCATGTTGTCTTTGTACTGAACAGAAAAGACACAGCACACACCCTGCCGCACATGTGAAGAAATATTTGCCACGCAGTCCTCAGCGATATTATTTCTTAAATCAAAGCAATTTTCTTTCCTAGCAGAGCAAAGACATTGATCTTCAGTGTGAAGTTTTAAATTCCCTTTCCCTAATATCATGCCTCAGTCTGCTGAAAATAGTTTTTACGTGGCAAAAGCAGGGATTCTTTGGTTTTGTTGAAAGGAGTGGATTTTTCAGGCATTTCTTGTTGAAGAGAATTGGAGTGTGTTTGTTTGGGAGCTGGGGATCCGATCCAGAGAAAAATGGGGATATTTTCTCAAGAACTCACTATCATACACACAGAGCACCAGCTCTAAAATTGAATGCTGTTCTTGCTATAGCAGCCCACTGGACCTACTGTATGTTTGGTATTGCCTTTGCCCTATGTTCATAAATCATTTGTGAAGTCCAAGCAAATTATGAAACTGATTTAACTAAAATTTGTGAGATATTAAAATTTGAGAGACAAAAAGCAGTAGTTTGCCATTTAGCTTTCCAAGCTTTAAAGTTCCACACTTGATTCCCCAGTTTAGGTTTTCTCATTTTTGTTGAAAAATGAGATTTTCATGAAATTTTTTATTTCTGGAGCCAAGCTGAAGAAAACAGTGTAATATGTCGAGACTGGTACTAAAGTTGGGAGAGTTGGTAATGCTGCCTTTGGTATTAGAGTTATCCCCTGGTCTTGATTACAGGAGCTAACCCTACCATGCCAAACTCTGCTTCACTGTCCTGTGTAAAACATGCAAGCGTATACCATCATCAAGTGAATATTTTATAGTGAGCAGTTCTTAACTTTTCCTCCCCTCCTCCAATATCTGCTAATGCTAATTTAAAGGCAGTATTTTCTCTCACATGCCTTTCAAGCCCCAGTGTCTAGCCTGTGCTTTGTCTTTGGGGAAGGCTAATAATGTAGATGAATTACATTATGTGATTTGATTGTCTTACTTTAAAAAGACAATGCAAGCTACATTAAGCACTAGCAACCTTTCAAGCAAAAAAGATTCCTCCCTCAAATATATACAAATTGCGTGGAAGGCTTAGTTCAAAGGAGATTGATGTTGCTTGAATGTTTGCATTGAATTTGGCTGGCGCTGGATCAGACCCTAAAAGCTGCAGTTATTTAAGCCAACCTGCCTGTTTAAGAAGAACCTGCAAAGTACTATACAGACGGTATAAACAGGGATGTTTTATATTACACAGGGCAATTGTAGAAAATGGAAATGTTCAAAAATACACATTCTGTGAAGATTTTCTATTGTCCATTAATGTAAAATGTTTTGGCAGGAATAAATATTTACTCATATAGAAATATTTCTATACATGTATATTTCTATATTCAGGACACGTAAACGTATACATTACTTATAAAAGCCACAAAGGGACTCTCTTAATTTCATTGAACAGACAATGTATTTTGCTTTCTGAAGCCATGCAGGAGAAGAAACCATGCTTTTGGCTTTTCTTGCTTTGGCTTTCAGATCCCTAAACCCTCTACAGCTGGGACTTTTTATATTTTTCCAATGTATGGGTTGTTTTCCAGTCCTTTCCAAACTCTCTCACAGTTTGGTTGCATTTTAGGTTGAACTTCTGGCCCTTTCTGAGCCCTGTTCAATCCATTTCACCCTTCTTCTGTTACCCAAGCCAGATTTCCTCCTGTTGCAGAGTCTGTAGGAGCAGATGGGTGAGAGAAACTCTGCGAGGTTCTGCTTTCTGAATATTTTCGTCTAATTGTTGGATTGGCTCAGTGGATCTGGAGGGACCGGTTGGAAGCCAGGACCATCTGCACAAAAGCTCTATACTTTTGCATTGGCCCAAGGATCCTTTATATCCTCTGACTCTCTGGTGGCTTCATTCCAGCTAAGCCATACTGAAGGAGGACTTCTCCTGCTATGACCTCTTTAGGGATATCATATTAAAAGTAAAGGTCACTGAGAAACTGTTTCCAGCTCAAGGGAGATAGCTGTTTCTTAAAGATAACTACCAGTTTTGAAGATGTTGACCTCGGGGACTGAAACATTGAGCTTTTGTAACAGTAATTCCATTGAAAGTCCTACTTAATTTAACCCATACAATTAGCCTTTTTTTTTTTATATTAGCTAATAAATTAAACAACTCCATTTAGCGTTTTTTGGAGGGGCAGAGTTTGAAGCAAGTGAGGCTCTTCTCAATCCGCACATCGCTCCTGCTCACAGGAGAAGGAGAGGCACCTTGAGAGGAAAACCAATGCTCGGCAGTTTACAAGACGTGCTTATTCAGGTGGTAAAAGTGCATGGTGTGGAAGTTCGGCCAAGTCTGCGCACAAGATCTGTAGCTCTGGCTGGGCTTTCCATAAACG